TGCACTATTCGAGGAGAGTGAATCGAGAAACGGTCACGAGGATCGAACGATCGAGAGGACGCTCCCACGAGTTCTCATTACCTACGATCACCTACGGGACGTGGGGTCACTAATGCCATATACAATTACAAGAGTTATATTCCTTTAGGCAATTGTGCAATTGTAGTAGGCATTATTCTGTACATATACTGTGTTTTTACTCGCAGCGCGAAATTTTGTCGTTAATGAGTATAACTCGCCTTTGATTTATTCTTACTCTCTTCGTCTGCTTATGCGATTGTATCCGTTAAAGTATTAGTTACCAACTGATTGTATACACACGTACACGCGCGCACTCGCGCAAAGAGAGAAGAAGATCGTCCTCCTCGATTATGACCTTGCATAAGAACGCGTCGAATCTCTTTAACTTTCTGTCGACAGTGGCGAACTTTCGGCTGTGGCGTCACCTCCGCGCAACTATAATGGTAACTAATTCGTTGTCACTTATATATCCATACGCTCTCCTCGAGAGTTCTTGAGAGAACGAAGATGTTGCTCCTTCTTTACTCATATATATATATATATATATATTATATATAAGTATATACACACAGTATACACACATACATACTTTACACACACATGTATAGACGCGCAGTGTCTTTGTATCATACAAAGTATCGAGTGTTAATGATCGTCTAATGTCGGCTCACGTGTGTCCTGAGTTGTTATTATATTTGTCGTAAAACATCTATTTTGTGGGACACATAATGTCGCAAATATAAATCGGATATACAAACAAATACATAGTATGACAAAGATTATCTCAATCGCAAACGAATAAATTGTTACACGTCTGTGTGTAGATCGGATTCTCTCGAAACGGTATGTCCATTTCAGAATTTTACTGAATTTACATATGTCATGTATAATCTCACAGAGGGTGCGTTCCGTTTGGACCGACAGGGCATCACATGAGCGCATTCACTCGTTTTTCCCTTTTTCCCATCATTCTGGATGCGTTTCGTTTCATGCATGATGCGCATGGAGAGCGCATGAGATTGTTCCGTTTCACTCTATGCGCAGTTTATCCATTTACGGGAACGGTTTCCCGCGTCATGTCGCGCAGCGCATGAGAGCACATGGACTACCTCAACTCTCCAGGTGGTGCAGTCTATGCGCGAGGGTTATTTAGAGACGAGAAAAAGACTGTTCCGTAAAGTTCACTACAAATTGTGGGGATTTGTTATTCTGAAACTTACAACAAATTTTCTTGAAAAAAAGCTACACGTATCATATTGATGATGAATTATGTTTAACATATTTGATGATGAGTTTCAAGCGCTTATAAATTGTTCCGTTTTTCTATGCGCAGTAAGAGTAATGGGAAAAAGAGAACGAGCCAACGACTATGTTCAGCGGAGAAAATTGATTAGTGAGTGTTCAGTGATTTTTTTGATATGATTGGATGCATTCAGTACTACAACTGCTCTTTGAACGCTCAGTGAGTTCTTGCATCTGATTGGCATATTTGAAAATCTTCAAGATTCGTACATTTCTGATAAAATAAATTAAGGAAAGTAATAAAGATAAAATTAATTAAAAATAATTAAAGAAAATAAAATTAAGTGTAAGAATCAGGAAATCGCTTGATGGGATTTAAAGAACACCTGGAATTTGTAGAATGGCGATGGAAAATAGATTTATTCACCACATGTTTGGTGTTGCAATTATGCGTTCACCATGCATTAATAATAATAATGTTACACAATGGACAGCCGAATCTAGAGAATGCGACTGAGACTTGAGCGTCCGAATAGAGCCGATTGGAGAGGAGACTCGTGAGGCGTAACGTGTGAAAGTTTTTAGAAGCGCATAGTTCATTGCGTGGGTTCCAAGAGAAGGTGGTACTAGTTGTATCTTTTTAGTTCTAACTAGTATTAGTGGTAGCACATTACGTAGATGATAGAAAGAAGATAAGGGAATAAACCTCGGAGAGAACACGAAGTTAAGGGAGGGTCCCAGATGCTCACATCCCAGAGTTGAACACATCTACTCACATCGGTCAGTGAATAGTAATTTTGCAGTCTACGACCAATGAGAACATATTATCTCGCTTTAGCCAATTAGCGATGTGTCCAATTGAGATCCTCCCAAAGTTAACGATTGATTGACACACATACACACAAATTTACACGTACATACCTACACGAACATATACGAAAGGTAAAGCGTCCGATTTTTCAGGCATTCAATAAGAAGGAAACATTTACACACGTGTATAAAACGTATAATCCACAAGAAAAAGGAATCAGTAATCGATAAATCGCTTAATTAAGGATGATTTTTCCAACACGGTACACCTACTGACTGCTACCTTCTCCTATTGTTTATTCAGCCAAGTATAAGACAACAAATCCTCCCTCACCCGAGAAGAAACACCCCTCAATTAAATGTGGTACTAAATTATTTTGGTGAATAATAAACAGAATTGTCACTGAGTCGTGAGATCGTTGTATACTACAAGTCACACCTATGCAATTCGTATTCTTGGAACGGCATAATTCTTTTCGTTCTTTAACGACATAATTTCTTTTTTTTATTATTTACAGGTCTCATATTAATCTATTGTCCGAATATGCGTCTAGGAGTGCGCAGACGATTCCGTTGTACCTACTAGAATTTTCGTAGTTTCAATCGGAGCAGTATAGGCTTAGGGTCCCTCCCTTCTAACTCTGCAGTACATTAATCGACATGTGCATGACAGTATTTTATATAGTACAATAGGGCAAAGAGAATTAGCAATGTAGCATTGTAAGCGAGACGCATACCAAACACCCACTGTGCGTGTTTATACGTAGATAATGTAATAAAAAAAAGGAGAAAAACAACACGAAAAGTTATGTTGTAGCGTCGCCTGTCATAAGATTCGTCACGATGGCTTCTATGACTCGCTTTCTACCTGCTTGGGAAATAATGGTACCAACAAGTAGATTTACAATAAAGTATTCTTCGTCATTTGTGATACACAGGATTGGCGAACGTTTATTGTAATCCTGAAATGTGCTATATGGGCTCCTTGTAGGAAAATACTTTTCACTAGTCTTACAGAGTGAAATTAATAGCGATAGTATTGATTCCTTTATGACCATAGCACAGACATAATTTGCATAATGAGCTTTCTACAATAAGTCATTACCTAAGCTTTAAGTTTTAAGCTATAAGAGATTGAACCCTAATAATCGATTATTCTTCTCACGTTCCATTAATATCTTATGATATAAAACTTAAAACTTAAGTAGTAGGCTTATTGTAAAAAGCCCACATCGCATAGTGCATACGAGAATCAATCAATCAAAATTCTTTTCTTCCCTAATAATAGGAGGAAAAGAAGGATTCTGATTGGTTGATTCGCATATGCACTGTACATTTTGCATTATACAAAAGTCTGTGTTGTAGTTTTTTCTTTGAACAATTTTTACGCAGTCTTATTTTTATTAAAAATATAATTCTAAGTTTATGGTGATAAAAGAGATTTTTTTATTTAAGAGATTATTTACATATTGTAAAGTTATATTGAAGGAAGAATTAATACGAATTCAAATTGAACATAGGAATGTTCTGCGCAAGATTTATTATAAGGGATATTTTTTAATTTTATAACTATCGGTATATATTATATATAAATGTAGATTGCACGGTTTATCGCGGTCGGTAAGACCGATTACTTGCTTATCGATGTGGATCTATAAAACACGCGAAACCCACATGCTTTAACTTCCCAGCAACAAAAAGTCCAAAATCGGGATATAAGACGTCTTAAAGATATCTTTAAAAAATGTTTTATGTCTCGTTTTCAAACATGTGTTGTCTGAGTCGTGAAATCGAATAATGCAATATAGAAATGATTAAATTTTATTATTATTGATATATTTCACTTTAATATTGATAAATAAAAACATAACATAAGTAAAATAGAAGTTTTATGTATATAATCCATTGCAACGACAAATAATAAGTTTCGATAGTTCACAGATTGATGTTGACACAGATAACACTTGCAACGTAATTTATATTGTATACGCGTAGATGTAGATTATTACATTTTACGCATAAACACATAACAATTATTCTTTATGCCAAATTAATTAAATCTGTACATAAACACGTCTTTAAAAAAGTGTTGTGACTACCCATACAGCACGCGTGACAGTTTGACAACTAAAGATTAGAAAAAGACGAAGAATAAGTTGAACTGAAATTAACTTCAATCTCAGTTCAACTTACTCTTCGTCTTTTTCTAATCTTTAGAACTAGAAAAAGACGAAAAGTTGAATCGAGATTAATCTACGTTAGTAGAAATGGACATTAGTCGTCAAACTACTGCGCGGCAAGCGTTTCCGCGTGCAGTGTGTGGAGGCCATAAGTTGAGTCGAGATTTAAGTTAATCTACATTAGGCTTGTTCTTTTTGGCTGACTTTTGCACCAGTTCATCTTTCTTCTTTTTCCCTCTTGAAGAGTAAAGGAAGAAAAATGAACTGGTGCAAAAGTTCAGCTAAAAAGAACAGGCCTATTGGTAGAAATGGATATAAGTCGACTTTTTTTTGGGGTGATCCCGATTGATCACGGCTCGATTGGACACCACCAATCACAGCGACCAGGTGCCTAGGAGCTTTGTAGTCTCAAGCGCTGTGAGTGGCTCGTGTCCTATTGAGCCGTGTCCAACTGGGTGCCACCCCTTTTTTTTTAGTCAATTTAGGCTGTGTTCCAAAATTGGCTACTAGTACTGAAAATTTATAGTGTACATAACATAGACTGTAGCATTTTCGGTGCTGGCAGTAAATTTGGAACACAACCCTAGAATGGCCAAAGCGGCGCTGTTAAAAGTGATAGATGCGCACGCATGATCGATACTTCCATCGATATTTCTATCGATTCTCGCAATTATAATCTAGAGCCTAGAGCATCTAGAGGATCGTACGTTTCTATTGTTTACACAAGGTTTGCATCAGATTGCATCAGATTGCATGGTATTGTTGATAACTGTTAATTCATTGGAAATTAGTTACTCGTGATTAAGTTTCGTTCGAAGAACGATCATTATCGCGATCTCCGATGGTCAATCTTACATAGATTTGCCACAGATCGGCAGGTTTACAGCAATGGATTAGTAGTTAACAGTCGTCAGTCTTACGTCCTCGTTGTTTGAAAGGCTCTTAATTCTTTGGATGATTACCTCACGACGAAGTGAAAATGACGTCACAAGAACAAATTCCTTGTAGTCTGCCCGATACACAGAACGCGGATGCTATATTGACACAATCGCAGGAGACATCAAGCCAGCAGCAAACGATGACCATTTGGGGAAGATTGTGTCCTAGGAGGCCATACTTACGAAGTCTGGGTAAGAGCTCGCCTCTTGCATAGGTAGAATCTTCTCGGAATCACTCTGCTTGTAATGTAGTTCTTCAAAATTAATTCAAATCAGAGCCCTAAAATTTAAATTAGGCAAATAATTATAATATTTTTTAATTTTATTTCAGAAATGAGGGCTACCGGTTATACCTTAGGACGCTCTCCAAGCTGCGACATTTGTTTAACTTCAAATGAGTTGCAAATTAGACAGCTAAGTGTTATTAGTAAGACACACTTTCGCATATACAGGGAGCGTGTTGGTAACACAAACGAGATCGTAGTGTACCTGGAAGATTTAAGCCACAATGGAACTTATGTTAACCAGGAATTGGTTGGTCATGGAAGACGTGTCATTATTGGAAATAATTCCGAGATAGCTTTAGCCAAGAGTTCCTTCTCATGTACATACCTATTCTATATCAAAACTCAATGTATAAATTATTGATGATAAAAAAAATTAATCTGTTTAATTGTAGTTTATATATTCGTGAGTGCAAATGCACATGAAACTGCTTATGAGTTACCATTGGGGCTGAAGCAGAGGTATGTAATTGGCCGTAGACTAGGAACTGGTGCTTGTGGCGAAGTAAGGCTGCTATTTAAGAAGGATGGTTCCGAAACATTTGCTATCAAGATTATACAGAAAAATTATTTTAGTGCCGGAACTGGGAACATTCTCAATAATCCGGCGAATGTTCGGAACGAAGTTGAAATATTAAGAAAGCTGAAGCATGTAAGTTCAGATATATTTAAGGCATCTTCTTTGTATCATTGTAGTTGCCAATGGAGTTTTGGACTTTTGTTTCAGCCTTGTATAATTCCTTTGAAGGATATTTTTGATACGAATGAAGTTATGTACATTATTCTTGAATTAATGGAGGGTGGTGAGCTTTTTGATAGAATAAGAAGCAAAGGGAAACTGTCTGAACCATGTGCAAAACTGATATTTTATCAAGTTGTACACGCTATTTATTATCTTCACAGAAAGGGAATTACACACAGAGATCTGAAGGTAATTTTAATTGAAGAATTTAAAACATTAGCTATATGTTTTACATGGTCATATCAATATTACATTATTAGATTAAAAAAATTTACAGCCAGAGAATATACTGCTAAAGGACAATTCAGAAAATCCTTTGGTCAAAGTATCAGATTTTGGCATGTCAAAATTCGTAGATGCCCAAACAATGATGAGAACATTCTGTGGGACTCCTATGTATGTTGCTCCCGAAATTTTGGCAACCAATGGACGCAGCTCTTATACAAGTCAAGCAAGTATTTAAAATATATACAAGCCCAAATATTCCAGTGAAATTTTCAGATTTTATAGGAAATTTACTTCTCTAAAAAACAAAATTCCTGTAAATATGGTCAAAAACCGCTTCCTTAAACAGCTATAACCCAAAAATCTCAGAAATCATTATTTTATAGTTACATTTACAAATATCAGGAGAAATATGTGCGTTTTTTTTTTAAACAAAAGTACAAAAATAAAAGTTTTAGAAAATTAAATTATCTTTTAAATGGGATTAAAGTGATTGTAGTATGTTCTATTTCTATTGATTGAAATAATCAGTTTCAAATATATAAAAAAGTGTTTAATATATTTAAAAAAATAGCTTATACTTTTATTATTTAATTTTTCACAAAGTTTTCGCCATAATAATATCCTCGAATTTCAAGATATCCTATATAATGCTATATGTGTATATATATTTTAATGAGCAATAATAGTAAATATAAATTTTTTTTTATTATATTAGAATCATAGCTTTATCCAAGATTTGATAGAAGGATCGATTGCAGAAAGTTTGCACAATGTTTCAAATTAAATTCCAAATTCTCTTTAAATAAAGCATCGACAAATGATCCCCGCGATCTTCGTCAATATTTATTATTAAATAAGTATTTAATTATTATATATATATATTGGGCATGGGAATAAGTTTCCGCCCTTTTTTAATGAAAAAGATGTATTTAAACAAAACAATATAAAGTAAGTTCATTCAAAGTATGCTTCATCAGAAGCGACAACTTTCCCCCACCTTTCAGGTAATAAACAGATTCCTCGAAGGAAGAAATTTGGTTCTTTTGAAGCGATCCATTTATCAAGCCATTTTTTGATATCTTCATAAGAATTGAATCGCTCTCCAGAAAGGGTCAACAGCATGGACCGGAACAAATAGAAATCTGAAGGAGCAATGTCTGGTGAATACGGCGGGTGGGGCAGAATTTCCCACTTCACTCCTTCCAAGTATCTCTTGACCGGTTTTGCAACGTGTGACATAGCGTTGTCACGTAGCAGAATCAGCTTATCGTGCCTATTGTCCCATTCCTATTGTTTTTGTTTCAAAGCTTAGTTCAAACAAATCGCTTCGAACGAATATCAACTACTGGGCTCAAAAGCTTGAACACACACCTTTCAAATACATGTATTGCTGTTTTATCAAACACACAAGCAGTGCTACTAACGAAATCTCTCTAATGGGCGGAAACTTATTCCCATACCTAATATAATGAATAACTATTTTTCCTCTTGAATATATGCGAAGTTGCAAGACTAGGAATCGAACCTGGATCTTTTTCTTTATAGATAACTGCTCTATCACAGTCATTCTCGAAAAATAATTATGACCATTCGTATATACACTGTCAATAATGAAAATTTACAGTATACGTAACGTGAACTATAGATTTTCAATATTCTGTGTATATCTGAACATGATTTATGCAGGAGAATCGTTTGTATTTCAATGACCTGAATTCTTTCAGGTCGATGTATGGAGTTTAGGAGTGATATTGTATGTCAGTTTAAGTGGCAGAGTTCCTTTCTCAAATAATAATGCTACTTTAGCAGATCAAATTAAAGGTGGAATGTATGAATTTGGATCATATTTTGCACTAGTATCACAGGATGCTATAAATCTGGTACGTAATAATGTCTGCATTTATTAACTGTGATTAACCTTGCAATTAACAGAATATCGCGTTGTTCTAGATTAAATGTATGATGACGGTGAATCCGAAGAAACGTATAACAGTACCACAGATCTTTTCACATCCATGGTTACGTGACATAAATATGCAAAGAGAAGCCAACCAGTTGATGTTCGGTGTTATCCATACGGAAGATAATGACGAGAATTTACCACCTTCGAATATCCATTCGAATAAACGCCCTCGGCTTATTTAAAGAAAAAAAAATCTTATTTCGCGAGCAAAAGGTGGAGGCATATCTAGTGTTTTCTTGATAGATTTGGCTTTTCGTTAACATTGTGATACATGTATACGTTACCCACTTAGAATAATTTTCATTTAAAAAGCGGGCATTCACAATAGATTTTGATAAATTCAATATATCGAAAAATTATAAAGTTTATAAAGTCAATCTTTTAAATATATATAAGTTTAATAGTATTAACATGGTACAAGCAGAAATAATATTTTTTTACTCTTAATATACTTGGTGATTAATCAGTATTACAAAATCGATAAATAGATAAATAAGATTTATATACTCTACGATAAGATACATATAGAAATCTCTGTATAATATACTCTTTTATTTTTTGACGTATCTCAATTTGACGAATACAAGAATTTGTGATCCAGAGACACAGTAGTGTCTCGGCGTTATTTAACTTAGACATACAGTGTATTTGTGATATATGACATTAGTAAAATGCACTAAGGATTATTGATTAATATTAAGTGCCAATTTATAACTTTATAAACTTTGATTAGAAAATTTAGAATATTTCAAGAATATAGCAATGGTAATAAAAAGAGATCAAGACTGCCTTACGTTTAATGCCAAATGTGCAAAGAAAATGTAGGCTTAATTTATCTTTTACATTTAATTATCGTTACGAGTTTATTATCTCTTGTACAAAATCAACCTTAATGCTCAATTATGCTAAGTTCTTTATTCAAAGTGATGGACTTTATACAATAAAGAAGAATCTCTCGCGAACTATATTCTATTTTGTTATTTCTTTTTGCTTAAGTATTGCTCCTCACTTTTGCAGGAATTCGGAAGTGCTGTCTCAAGGTCTGGTTTCTCTTTCTTTGTAAGTCCGGCTAACAAACGTTTTAATTGCGCTATTGCTTTTCCTGGATTTAGACCCTATTGGATACACAGCAATATCTTGTAACGATTAAAATTAAAATCTAGATATATATAATTTCTTTTGAGGGAACTAAACTCTTTTTGTGTCGCAGGAGAGAAAATAGCAGTGAATAATGTCGTTTAAGATTCACCTTTGGACACGTTTTTGTGCAATTGAAGATCGTGTGGCATCGATAAACCGAATAGAAGTCTCGTAATTTTGCCAGCCTTTCTTCATGTGCCATGTCCCGCGAGTCTATCACCCACCTGTATGCCTAGCGATGTAAGCGAATGGATGTACATGTAAATAATGGTACATCTTTATTTTATTTGCCATAGAAAAATGTCGATCTGTTACCTGCAGTAGCACCGCAGGTCCTAGATACTTATCGCCGAGCCACCAGTAAGGAGGACACGAAAACGTGCAACATGCGCACATTACGCATTCGTACAAGCCGTCGAGCTTGCTCCTGTCCCTTGGACTTTGCAAAATTTGCCGCATACCGAGGAAGTCGTCCTCATCCGGTCGCTTTAAATACGGATCGATTTTGTGGAATTGTCCCAGGAACTGTTCCATATCCGGTATTAAGTCTCGAATCACATATGCATGCGGTAGAGGATAGATCACCAGTGGCTGCAGAGATTCTTGTACTTTCCTGAAAAGTTTAAGCAGTTTTGGTAGCAACGTTAATGTGATTTAAGGAGAGATTTCTTTTGGAAGTAAGTTTTATCGCGATGAGAAGGCTAGAAAAGTAACTAACGGAAATGTACGGCACGTAAAATTAACACAACCATTTCAATTTCCAGACATTCAGATCTCCAAGTATCCAAAGTGTCCCATATCTAAAACACTAAAATTATCTACATTCCGAAATCCTAAATATCTGGACTAAGCCACCAAAGATACATCAAGTTTTTCAAGGATCAAATTCAAAGAACTCAATATTCCTATCGCCTAATTTACCGACGTTAAAAATTTTATTTTTATATCGTTGAACGACGAGTTACGTTATGCAAGCCAAGGTATTCACGCCGTTTATGTTCATCCCACAACATCCACAGATGCCCTCGCGACAGGACCTCCGGAAGGACAATGTCGGATCGTGTTGCGCTTTTATAAGCGTTAATACGTCTAGCACCATTGTGCCGCATTTGTTCAAATCTACGCTGAACTGTTGCATGTACGGCTTCACTTTCGGCATTTCTGGATTCCATCGATATACACGTACAATTTGTAGCCTCGGCCCAACTTTTGCCTCCTACAAAAGATCAGTCATAAATAATAATCACGTCTAAACATAGTATACGTATGTTTGCCTAATCTAAGTCCTTCAATTCTTTTAAAAACTTTATAATTGGAGACATTAGTTTCTTATATTGCAATATATTATGTGCGAAAAGAAAACTTGTCTCAATATCATAATCAAATGTCTCAAGATTTGTTCTTTATAGAAAAAATTCTATACTTTTCATCTTTCCGGTTTTTTTCTTTCTAACGTTTGTACATTAATATCAGTTTAAATGTAGAAAGTATAACTACAAAGAACAGATCTTTAGATAATACAAAATAAGGCTGCGACTTGCTAACAATAGCAAAAAAATGCATAGCACGGTGTAAGAATTCGGATTCGAATTTTGCATATTGGAGATAGAGGAAGATCCTCGCGCTTTTTTTCAAGTGTGGGATGACTAACTTTCGAAGGCGTTTTACACGCAGCAATGCCCGCGATTTCCGCCGCTACCACTGTGTCCACCTCGGTTGGAGTTTTCTTGGCCGATGTTGACAACCTCGATTCGCGAATGCGCGCGAGTCCCCGCGACCAGAAACGGCTCGTGGATACGCTTCTGCTCACGGCAGCATACATGACCCACCCCCTGTCGAGTGACCTACCGTCGCCTCCACGCCCGACAATATTATCTTGAGGACGATGTCTTTGTGATGTCACGTCGTACTATTTCAATCATTACGTCTCGTCGCAGTCGCATTTATCTCAGACTCGTTAAACGTCACACGAACAAAATATCATCGAGGACGAACTTCACGAACAGTCTGCGGCGAATTTATGTCAATTTATGTTATCGATTCATAACACATCTTCAACAGTTTAAACTTCGTTTTAGACAGTAGAACTTGGGTCAAATTTCTGCCTAGAGTTCTGTTTATAATTTTATGTGCCATGTGCTATTTGTGGTTGTCTTCACAGATTTTTGTACAAGAAGTACACACCCATAGACTTCTATAAAAAGTTCGTGTTTCTTAATATATATATATTTTTTTATATATATTTGTATATTCCAATACTTTAACCCGGAAAAAAAAGTTATATACATGGACATATTTGATATATAATTATACATATATAAAATATTTTTTCTCTAGAAGTGTTTTTGTATTACACACGGCATGTGAAATAATAAATTATTTTGCTTTTATCAAATTTATTTACTAATTTTATCAATTTATTGATATATTTTTTGCAAAACGCAAAACGCGCATTCTTATCACTTGTCTGTAAAATGATTTTTTTTAATTCAGTTCTCTCTCATTGCACATTCAAATTCTTATTAGGAATCGATCGACCGCTGTAAAGTTATTTTTAATTTAACGGAATTTAGATTGCACTACGTTGTTTGTCATAATGCAAACAAGTTACGACAATCGCGATAAGAGTGACGTGCTTGACCTATGGTCATCAAATAATTTCGAAAGTATTTTGTCGAGTAATATTGAACGGAGTTTCCGTATCGCAATGTGACGTATGTCCGTTTATTACAAATTTATAGAATAACGTATCGAAGCTATTATTTACGCAATTATTTCGAATAATCTATCGGAACACTGGAAATTATCAAATATCTGTCTGAAATAATTGTTTAAAATTAAAAAATGACTATAGTATAAGGAAACGAAAATTGTACAAGCATTAGAATTGCAAAAGATCTATTTTATCTCTATCGCGCGCGTTTATTTGTATATTACAATATAATAATGATGTAAACGTCCTCATCGAGGCTTTAAATCGCCTGCTGAAAGGCCGTCGGGTCATCGCGCGAGCGATATACGAGCTATTATAGATTAACTCCCACGAAGAACGAGAGATCAAGCCGGTTTCTCGTTGCGTAAAACGCAATTGGTGGTAAGGCACACATCGTTAGTCATCGTTGTGTTGCCGTTGCGCTGAGAACGAATCACTCCGACCACCTGTGGCATCCCACGTTTCATTCACAAGCACAATCATTGCGTTATTCAGAAAAGCCGCCGGCGGTTTCTTATTACTGACGTCTGTAAACAACAAATAATTAACAGCTAGTGTTTGCGGAGATTACAAATTGGAGTAAGGTGAGTGACGAGAAAAGATAGTTTTAGCCTGAAATTATTAAATTTGGAAATTATGAATGTCGTCGATATTTTAATAATTCTGAATAAACCACTCTCGTGATAATCGTTTTGAGAAAGCACGTTGAAAATTTACAGATGACACAGTGCACGGTTCTTGTAATCGGCAGCGGTGGTAGAGAACATGCCATTTGTTGGAAGTTATCTCAATCGTCGTGTGTAAGTTCAGAGAATCAATGAATAGCAATGTAATGGATAGAGATTAATACAGTTTACATTCTGTTTGGTGTATAGATAAAAGAGATTTTGGTTGCTCCTGGAAATACCGGCATCAAAGAAGTAGATAAAGTGCAATTAGTTGATTTGAATGTCAAGAATACTAAGGTATACATAATGTCATTCTATAATTTTTTCTTGGATCAGTTATGTGATATTGATTATACCATTTTTTCTGTAGGAAGTTTCCAAATGGAGCAAGAACAATAACGTTGATTTAGTAGTGGTGGGACCAGAAGATCCTTTGGCTCAGGGATTAGCAGACGATCTGAAAGACGTGGGAGTGAAATGTTTTGGTCCTCAGAAAAAAGCAGCTCAAATCGAAGCCAATAAAGATTGGGCAAAACAATTTATGGACAGAAATCATATTCCTACTGCTAGGTGGCAAGGTTTTACCTCCGCTATAGATGCAAAGAACTTTATCAAAAGGTAAGTATAAGGAATTTCTTCTTGAGGAAGACGATATAAAAACTTACATATTCTCCTTTGTCATAGTGCTCCATTTAAAGCACTTGTGGTAAAAGCCTCAGGTTTAGCGGCTGGTAAAGGTGTAGTAGTGGCAAAAGACCAACAAGAAGCTTGTCATGCGATAGACGAAATGTTAAATCATAAGAAATTTGGAGTTGCTGGCGAGACTGTAGTTGTTGAGGAACTTTTGGAGGGTGAAGAAATATCTGTACTTGCATTTACAGATGGTAAATAAAATTATGCTTATATATAAATTGTTTTTAACAGAAAAAAATTTAAAATTTGACGTTTAGGTAAGACTGTCGTACCCATGATGCCTGCACAGGACCACAAAAGAATCTTTAATGGAGATTTTGGCCCAAACACTGGTGGAATGGGAGCGTATTGTCCATGTCCATTGTTAAGTGAAATAGAATATGAAGAGATAAAAATAAATGTTCTTCAGAAAGCTGTCGATGGACTTAGAAAGGAGAACATCCCGTTTGTAGGTTTGTAATTTTCTGTTGACAATGAATGATGTTAAATTATGAGCATGTATTATTTATATGAAACTTACAGGGGTACTATATGCCGGTTTAATGCTGACTGAAGATGGCCCGAAAGTCTTAGAGTTCAATTGCAGGTTCGGCGATCCCGAGACTGAAGTAGTATTATCGCTGTTGGCATCGGACTTGTTTACAATTATGAAGGTACAATTGATTAAATTTAAGAGATATTCATATAGAAAACAAAAATTTTATTTCTACGATATACAATATGATATGTGTGTTTGATATGGTTATACATATTACAGGCTTGTTGCGATGGAACTTTAAGCTCGTCTCTCGTTTCCTGGCGTGAAAATGTATCCGCTGTGGGTGTGATTTTAGCATCTCGTGGTTATCCGGCATCCTCATCCAAAGGTCAAGTTATAACAGGCACTGATGAAGTGGCACGTAAACGGGATTACTTTGTCTTTCACAGCGGCACGACTGTTTCATCAGAAGGCGAATTAGTAACTAACGGTAAAAAGCGACACGGTAAAAGATATCTAAACAAATGCCTAAGTTTCTAATTATAATGGCATTTTTATAGGCGGAAGAGTTCTTATCACTGTCAGTATCGCGCCAACCTTGGCAATGGCAGCAGCTAGAGCTACCCAAGCTGCTGAATATATATCGTTCGATGGGAAGCAATTTAGAACAGACATCGCGCATAAAGGGATCGCCAGGTGTAATGATTGATTTACAGATCAATAAAGTAATACCTCGCACAAGATTAACAATTAAACGTTCCAGATCTATTTTGCAGAGAGGACAGTTAACATATGAAAGTAGTGGCGTAAGTATCGACGCTGGTGATCATCTCGTATCCGCTATTAAGCCAGCTACTTGCTCCACAAAACGCGCTGGTACTGTGGGTGCCATAGGCGGATTCGGTGGCCTTTTTGATGTAAAAGCCGCAGGTTACAAAGATCCTATTCTTGTGTCAGGCACCGATGGTGTTGGTACCAAATTGAAGGTGATATTAAGTTAAAGATTTCCCTGTTAAGTTAAAAATTTTCCTGTGCATTCAAAGAAAATTGTTAGAGTCAGCCTGTTCATGAACAATTTTTTTTTTTTAGATAGCAATCGAATGTAAAAAGCACGATACGGTGGGCATAGACTTAGTAGCTATGTGCGTGAACGATATCCTCGCACACAACGCGGAGCCGCTATTTTTCCTGGATTACTTCGCCTGTGGCAAGCTCGACGTTGAAGTAGCTACGAAAGTCATAAATGGGATTACTGAAGGTTGCAAGCAAGCAGGATGTTCCTTGGTAAAGTATTTATTACATAATTTAAGAATATTTTTGAAGACTATACTAAATAGAAGGATAAATATCTGTTTCCATAAAATATTTATTTAACAAGTTAAAATAAAAAGTTTTGTGGCTTTAAGAATAAATAAAATATAAGTAAATTACCTATTATTTCGCAGTTAATATACAAATACTGTATATTATGCGGCAATTATAAATATTAAATTATGAATGTTATAAGGTAATACATGTAATATGTTGCCTTATAAATATATTTACGCACTAATAACCGCGAAAGCTCATATAGGCAATTTACTTATATTTTATTTGACGAAGTATGAATCAACATTTTTAGATTGGTGGAGAAACTGCTGAGATGCCAGATATGTATCCCGAGGGAGAATACGATTTAGCAGGCTTTACAGTAGGTGCAGTCGAAAGAGGCAATTTGCTACCACGCGTGAATGACATTAAGGAAGGTGACGTGATAATAGGTCTTCCATCAAGCGGCGTACATAGCAATGGCTTCAGCTTAGTGCGAAAAGTTTTGAAACTTGCAGATAAGACATTTTCAGACGTTGCACCTTTCTCAAGGAGTAATCGAACAATTGGTACGAAATGTTTTCTAAATTAAGCTCTTTTTTAATAATCAAGATAAGACTATATTATAAGAAAAAAATATAAGAATAATGTAATATCACAGGTGAAGAACTGTTGGAACCAACTAAGATTTATGTAAAAAGTATTATTCCTGCCTTGCGAACCAATCTGATAAAGGGATTCGCGCACATCACTGGCGGAGGTCTTACGGAAAATATTCCTAGAATTTTACCTGCGAATTTAAGCGTAACGTTAGATGCGAAAAAGTGGAATGTTTTGCCAATCTTTAGTTGGTTAGCAGCAATTGGTAGGTATTGCTCACAGTTTTACATATTTCTTATAATAAAAGTCGCAAACATATTAATTTACATAAATGCTAATCGACGTATAATGCTATTTATTATTACATAGGTGGAATTAATAAATACGAGATGTTAAGAACATTTAACTGCGGAATCGGTGCGGTCTTGATATGTTCTGAAAAAGACAAGGTCGAAATTTTGGCTAAACTAAAACACGAAAGCCCTGTGGTTATTGGAAGCGTTAATGCACATTACAGTAATTATTCTTGCTGTAAATATAATTAACGAAATTAATTAAATTATTTATACATTTGTGTTAATTACGTTACATAGATGGACAGGCTAGGGTGCACGTAGAGAACTTTGAAAAGGTTTTCGAGCCTGAAATGAAACAATATGTTCCCAATTTGGTTGCAACACTGAGTAAGCCTCTTAAAAGAGTAGGTGTTCTCATATCAGGTAGCGGCACAAATCTCCAGTCGTTAATAAACGCTACTCAAGATCCGTCTCAGCACGTTGGAGCAGAAATAGTCCTGGTGATTTCCAATAAGCCTGGCGTTGAAGGATTGAACCGTGCTGAGAGAGCTGGCATTAAGACAGTGGTACTTAATACGTTAATACAAGTTCACGTATAGTTACAAATAGAAAGGTAAACGTGGATCTGTTTTTTTCCTATAATTTTTACTTGTTTAATTTATAGGTAATTAAACACATTGATTATCCAAGCCGCGAGACTTTCGATGCAGCCATGAATGTAGAACTTCACGCTGCCGGAGTAGAAATAGTATGCTTGGCTGGTTTTATGCGAATTCTTTCAGAAGAATTTGTAAAGCATTGGAAAGGAGCTTTGTTAAATATTCATCCGTCATTGTTGCCATCTTTCAAGGGTGCCAACGCACATAAGGATGTTTTAGCAGCGCGTGTGCGTGTGTCGGGTTGCACCGTGCATTTTGTTGAAGTAAGGCAGCCAAAAAGATTGAATTTTTTGTTGAATTGGACTAAATGAGAAGATAACTATAGCATCTTTACTCAATCATTAATGAATCATTGTTATCATAATCTTCTTCCTTTTATCAACTAGGTTGACATAGATTCGGGAGCTATCGTTGAGCAAGAAGTGGTGCCCGTGTTCCCAGACGATACTGAGAAAATTTTGCAAGAACGCGTAAAGACGGCGGAGCATCAAGCCTATCCTCGTGCCTTAAAACATTTGGCGACTGGTCGTATAAAATTGAAAGAAGACGGCACTCTTCATTGGAATTAATTAGAGATCACATGTACATATATATACAACGGGTTTATAAAATATAGAAGTTATATTTTTTGTACTGTCATATCTTAATCTCATTATTTATATATGTACAAATAAGTTTACAATATCACAACTTTTCTGCTTATCTAAGTAATTTTTTTCCTAAACAAGTCGCTTATGAGATTAAATAAGTCCTGAGATGTACTCGCTTTCGAGTTTTCATGACTAGTATCTGCATATTTTTTGATATTTTTAGAAGGTGGTATCGATAACGCTTTTTCGGCGAGCTTATCCAATCTAACATGGAGCATTTGTTTTTGGAGTATAGGAACTAGCAAGTTGTATTTATCAATTTTATTATTTATCTGCCTTGTTGTAGTCTTGAATTTTTCCAACTTATCATTCCATATTAATTCATCTTTTGGAGTTAATGGGAGCTCGCTGACATCATTACGTGCTTCTAACAACTTCTTTTTCAATTCCTCAGTTTCTTCTCTGATTTCCTTTGACAATTGTATCCATTCTGGAGTAAAGCCATTGTCTATCAGTATCTGCAATCGTGATCAACATAAACAAGTTAAATTATGTTCAAATCATTGAAACTAATATCTTATACTTCTATATCTGATGCAATTTACCTGATTTAATTTATGGGTCACAAAATCAACGTATGGATTTCTAGCGTTTGTAGCCTTCAATGGCTTTCCCATTCCAGGTAAATCGCTGAATTCACCCTTGTTCATTGCCTCCTGAATCAAATCTTCCACCAAACGATCCATGCCATAACGGGTTTTAATATCTTTAGCTTTTTGTTTATCCATGCCGATTAACGTATTACGCTCTTCAGCCTGCAGTTTCTTCAATCTGTGCTCCATTACGTTGTCAGCTGCCTTTTGGGCTCTTTCTATTGTGTGTAGCCTTTGCCTTTTGCTTGGCGTGCCAATTCCCACATTGAAAGTCAAGTAATGACGATGCTGTGGCGCTGTGTGCTGAAAGTAAAGACAATTAAAATTAAAACATAAAAGGTATGAGAAGTTTATTCTGTTTAGCTAAACTTTTCGCATCTTTCTTCTTTTTCTTTTTACGTTAAAGAAAAAAAGAAGAAAGATGAACTATGAAGTTCAGCTAAAAAATGTCAAATATATTTACCTTAATATCAAATTCTTCCACTTCCAATGATGCCTCTTCATCTTTCTGAGCATTCCTGATTCTCCGAATCTCTCTATAGGCACTTTCAATCTACATTGAATAATCACATACAATGAAACAGATCTACTTTACTTATTTATCTCAAAGAACAGTATATTGTTGCGATACATTACCTCGGAAAATCTAATAGCATCGGCTTCTGGTGCTCCACTATCTGGATGAAATCGTTTTGCAAGATGAACAAACGCCAATCTTAGGGTCTCGTCCTCGCAATTCTCTGCAACTCCTAACGTTTCATACAGTTTCTATCAAATATGATTTAAATTATTTCATTAGTACAAATTATATATTAAATAGGGATTATATATATGATATTCAATATTATACCTTTGCAGTTTGCTTAGGATTAAATTGATGCACGAACCTCTTGGACAAGATCAACTCTGCGGATGACACGTGCGAAAAATAAGCTCCCGATTTGGTACACAGCCGATTTAAAGACAACATGATCTTTCAAACGAATAATATCACGTTATAATTTTTATACTGCTGCTCATTACATAATAATCGCGAAATTATTTCATTACGTACGCAAAATTATCCTTGTCTATCATGACTGTTGTACGCATCGAACGTCACTGAACATCACGCGAGAGTGAAGAATCGCGCCAAATTTAAATCCGCACACGTTGATTGGTTAAGCGTAAACAGTAATTGGCTTTACTTCTCGATTATTGGAGATCAAGATTGTAGTTTCTACACTTGTCGCACTTCACAGTGCTGATGTTCATTCGGAAGAGCTCTGGAAGTGGGCTGGAATTCGCATCACTGATTGTCAGTTGTCATTCGCATTTAAAATGCCAGCCACGGCAAAATGAGGTTATATCTTGTTTTTATTACGATTATCTGCCTTCTGTGGGATCAAAATGAACGTTTAGTGCTTGCGAACAAAAGTACCGAACCTCAGCTGGAGTACAGACCCGATGGTCCACTGGTGATGTGTAAATTCTTGTAAGTATTCAAGTGGACACTTTCCTAATATTTCAACGAAATAAATATTGACTGTTCCTTAACAAAATAATATAATGAGTATTTCTTGTAGACCTAAGGAATTTGTAGAATGCGAGGACCCGGTTGATCACAAAGGAAACAAAACTGCCAAGGAGGAGACGGGCTTTGGTTGTGTCAAGGTACAACACAGCTGTGAGAGTTTTTCAACAAGGAGATAGCGGTACTTTCCTGCAATATACACAGACAACACTATATATTCATAGTCGGTTCTTATATTTAAGATTGTCTTAAGATGTTATGAAACCAATCAGAAAGTCGTATTAATATCTGAAGACATTACTTAAGACAGTCTTAAAATAAGAACCAAGTATGAATACCAGCCATAGTATACAATTCCGTGCTTCCTGACTATAACACAAATCGATACAATTGTATTGTTATTTTATATTATTTTACAAATACTAAATTTTTACATTTTACTACCATTTATATTTCTAAGAGTAATAAGAGATTTTAAGATTACATTCGGATATATTCAAACAAAGTATGAGACCTTTTTCTTTATTTTACTTCGGCAATAAAATAAAAAAGTCAAGCAATGTTACAGCTGCAAATCGACACTGTGTATTACTGTGTCACATAATATATGACGGTTCTATGAAAAGCACCCAGTGTAACAATAAATCATTTTATTCTTTTGTAATGTTGGCAAACAAGAAGGATGTAACGATTCACTATTATTACTGTTATACTATGTCATCTGTGTCTCTTGCTGGAAAGTACTCTATTACACTGTATCTCCTTGCTGGAAAGCATCTTGATTAATCAAGTTTTTCTGTTTTTTTGGATAATTTATAAAATTTAAGTAAGACGAAGAAATTCATAGAAAATGACAAAAAAATGTTTACTTTATAACTGCACAATTACAGCTGTAAGAAATTTAGACGCAAATTATTTAAGAATAAATTAACAGTTTGGAGGATCTCGTTATGAAGATGTGGAAAAGACTAAGGTATCCTGTACAGTACTGCCAGATATTGAGTGTTTTGGACCAAGGACATTTTTTCACGAAGGGATACCATGTATAAAGTACAGTGGCCAATACTTCGCAACAACTCTCCTGTATAGTATTCTGTTGGGTTTTCTCGGTATGGATCGATTTTGTCTCGGACAGACTGGAACAGCAGTAGGCAAACTATTGACATTAGGTGGCATGGGTGTGTGGTGGATAGTTGACGTTATTTTGTTGGTAACAAACTCTTTGCAACCTGAAGATGGTAGTAATTGGAATCCATATGTATAGCATTTCAAGAAACCAGGGATCACTTTTTGTACATAACTTAGTTTATAATTTGCGAAATAACGTGTGATTTCTTGCGAGAACGGTCAACTTACCAGACGAGTCCTAGATTCAATCCTTGACCGTCATCCCCTATTTCAGTTTTATAAGATTAGAAAATTTAAATTAAGTGGAGAAGTATAAAACTATAAAGCGAATAATTTAATTCTCATTTAGGGAATTTATTTCATATTTAAATTATAATTATAATTATTTCATATTTAAATATTATAATTATAATTGTAAATAAACCATGCGATAAAGATTAATTTATGTAAAGTATATTGCGAATCCTCTTTAATGTAAGAATAAATATGTGTTAATTTGTATAAAAATAAATTATAGAAGTCATAAGTTTAGACAAAAAAGGATTGTGATTAGTTCATATATACAGTTGTTTATAATTCGTAATCGTCGGGATGGTACAATTCACTAAGCAATCTATATACATAAGACGGCGCATTTCCACCTCTGAAAAAGAAAGAACAAAAACATTGTTGCTCGAGAGATTTTAACATTAATCTGTATAATAATCTTAATAATCTTACGTGTTCGAGATGAATAATGTAACAAGTTCAGGTGGAACGTAATCGAACACAGGATTGTAAGCATGTATCCGTTCTAGCAATGGTGCGTTGGCACTGTCAATTACGCCATTCATTGGTGAAACGTGACAGTTAAAGCCATTTTGTTTGTCCGAGCAATGATAAAGGGGCGCCAGTTTGTAGAGAGGCAGCAAAACCATTACTGGAACAGAATAGTGCTTGGCGGCTTGTGCGACAGTGTGTGCGCCTGAGATCGCCCGAAGTCCACCATTTGCCATGACTGTGTGAGTGCCAATGATGACTTTGTTGACTCGGGACATCATCGCGAAGATTGCTACATCTGATATCAGTGTGGTCTTGATCTTTGCCTTAGCTAGATTCACTGCCATTTCATGACCCTGCAATTCATTCACAGATTTTTCTTTTTTGCATTCTCTGTTTAATTTCGAGTTTGTCCTTCAAACCAGGTGTATAATTACACTTAAAGACGGTCCACCTTCAGCTACTATAACATCAAAGGCCCTGGTAGCAGCAGCTTTTTTGAAAAATTCCTCTACCAATTTTGACTTGCCGATGGTCATTATAATTTCGTTTGAGTGTATATGCTCTGATGCTTGTCGTGTGATGTTTTCCGAGCTGGGAACACATTAAATTTGTTTTTAAAAAAGACTATTAAAAAAGACTATTAAGAAATGTATTTCGAAAGGCTGTTATAAAATTATATCATGAAATGATACGAGCTAATACATAAGGGGTAAGAAGAAAAAGTAAACATTGAAATTAGGCTAAAAATTTCTAATAATAAGTGCTTTCCATTTGACAATACAAAATGAAATAAGTGTCGTTCTACTTTTATTATCATTGAATGTCATAAAAGATAGAATGATGCATATGTTGACTTTTGTTACTAATGGAAAACACTTATAGTTGCATTATATCAAAGAAACTGCATTATTTTTAGATTTATTTTTTTAGCTGAACTTTATATATTAGCTTTCTTCATTTTTTCTTTCTATATTAGAGAGAAAAGAAAGATAAGATACAAGTTCAGCTGAAAGGAACAGATAAAATATGATACAAATGTGATTGTACTTACCATGTTTCCAATTCCGTTTCAAATTCATTAATGTGTTCGATGAGAGAGGCTTTGAGGAAAGGTACCGAAACGTTGAAATCTATCTGCTGGTTATCCTCAGCAGTAAGAATTTTGTGCAAGGACTCCTGGGGATATGTCTCATCTGTCTTACTCTTCAATTCCGAAATATATTCTTCCCTAATGATCTGCAATATCCTTCTTACCATATTTCCGATACATGCTTCAAGAGGAAGCGTTTTAACGAGGTACTTTCCATTTTGCACAACAATATCCATTAAATCTCTAGAAAATTAAGCCTAAAATTAATAATGTAAGTTGCAAAAGTTAATGGAAAATATTTTTTGTATGTGTTACAACAAATGATACAACAGTTTTAAATAACAATTCATACTTTGCTGTATTCCAGTGTGTATTATTGATGATTTCCTTAAGCACAGAGATAGTAGCCACCACGATATTGTGAGTGCCCTTAATTTCTCTGCAAAATATGGCATATTAATCGTATTTATTTTTTTTTCGTTTTCTTGGAAATTGACTGAAAATTATCTTACCCATAGTGAATACTGTCTGTCAACTTCAGCACGCTTTCATTCACTTTCTCTTTCGGATTTACGTCAATCATTTTGCTAGCGTTCAAATATATAGTTACATGCACTACAAAGTATCTTGCTATGTAATTCAGAAATTCTTGAAATTGCTTTCATCTACACGTGATGTGATTCCAATTGATCCTAATTTCCACGCTGTGGAGCCTAGTAAACCAATATAAACTAGGCCTATTGCTGGATTCACACTGGATCCGACGTGCGCCAATGAAACGACGCTCTCTAACCTTCAAGGCCCGTCTACAATACACGGAGTAAGAAGTAAGAGTAAGAAATTGACCAATCACAGTCGAATGTGAAGGCCCGTCTACAATACACTGAGTAAGAAGTAAGAGTAAGAAATTGACCAATCACAGTCGAATTTGAGAAGAATAGTCGACTGTGATTGGTCAATTTCTTACTCTTACTTCTTACTCAGTGTATTGTAGACGGGCCTTCACATTCGACTGTGATTGGTCAATTTCTTACTCTTACTTCTTACTCCGTGTATTGTAGATGGGCCTTCAGAAAACAGGATTTTGCTTCGTATCATCGATACAAAATAAAATTCTGCTTTCTGATTGGTTGCAGAACATCGTACAACGCACGTTGGATCCAGTGTGAATCCAACATGAGTCGCAAATAGCAAGCTTGTGTGACAACCAATCGATGGATCAATATTGCGCAAGCGCAGTTCGACTTTCCATCAACTAAAGGTGCCTTTTCACGCTGACGCTCGACGCTCATTTTCAGCGTCAAAACAGGTCACGTGATCAAAATTGACGAATACCAAGCGTCAATTTTGATCATGTGACCTGTTTTGACGCTGAAAATGAGCGTCTAGCGTCAGCGTGAAATCGCACCTTAACGTAATTTTAGCAGTTTAGCGTTCACTGTATCCGAATACACGATATTGCAAAAACTTTCTAATCGCAGCATATCTAATTCAACAAGAAAACAAGCGTTGTATTTCACTGACTTTTGATCCTGCGCACAATAGAGGAATATTAGGAACAGGAATAAAGGTACAGCCACAATAGAAAGAATAAGGAATTAGGAATAAGGAACAACGCGTATTTCAACCCATCAGAAACCGTGTATTCCGGTGTAACTAGTATCTGATAGGTTGAAATCTTAATATTTATTCCTATTTTTTTTCCTAATATTTGTTTTATTGTGTGCACAGACCTTTAAGGCCTAAACACAATGCGAAGGCAACAGTGATAGCGATAGGAATAGCGATAGCAATAGCGATAGCGATAGGAACACAGGAATCCAACATACGGGAATGCATCCCTGCATTCGTTTACGCAGCGGTTAGCGCAGAAGTATTACTTTATCCTTGTTTAACACTCGGTGAACAACAAGGATAATTAAGTAATACTTCTGCGCTAACCGCTGCATAAACAAATGCATTCTCGTATGTTGGATTCCTCTGTTCCTATCGCTATCGCTATTGCTATCGCTATTTCTATCGCTATCGCTGTTACCTTCGCATTGTGTTTAGGTCTTAAGAATTCAACCTATCAGAAATCATATATTGTGGAATACACAGTTTCTGATAGGTTGAAATTCTTATTCTCTGTTCTCTATTCCCTGTTCGTTTTATTGTGCGCAGCCCCTTATAGAATGAATTCATAGGTCTGTTGTTTGTGGCTGAACTAGTGTACACTTTTGGAACTTAAAGTCAGATAGATACACGTTTGATATTTGTTTAAGGGCCACTTTCACCATCGTCGGTTTACTTAATCAGCCTAGTAACTGCAATGAAATAGAAAGAGATAGAATTATATCTATGTCTTTCTATTTCATTACCCCGGATCTACAATAGGTGTTTTAAGCCTTAAGCCGTAAGAAATTGACCAATTACAGTCGAATCCGAGAAGAATAAGCGA